TCAACAAAGGATCCTCATACACTAATCATTTCTTTGAAGAAAATTTCAAGACATTTATCCTTGCAAAAAAAAATTTATCCTGCTTAATTTCACTACTTAGTGAACTTTAAACTAAATACTCCAATGTATATAACAACCACCTCAAACACAAAGGGCTTTTACCAAAAACACTCTTCGTATTTTGTAATCATGTTTGGCAGAAGTTATGCAGATTTTTACTGTTTACAGCTAGAACTCTGAATTTTACTGCCGCAAGAGCTATTGATACTTTTACTTATAAATGTAAAATACTAAAGGGCAACAAGAATAAAATATGAAATTTATTTTCGATATAAAAAATTATATTAATAACAAATAATAAATTGTGACATAAAATTTGTATAAACACTATATAAAAGATAAAGGTTCAATAATGTTTATAGTAGCATAATTTTTTAATTTTTTAAAAAAAGGAAATTTACTGAGTGACCAGCTACTTTCACGTTGCCACAAATTTGGCCACGACTACCGGCCATGAATGGTCTGCTCATGGCCAGATCCAACTGCAACTGCATCTGATCGAACAGTAGCAACCACAAGTGGCATCTGATATGGTCATGCTGAGATCCAACTCATTTGATCTGGCCGAAAGCATCCATGCTCACCAACCATCAGAGGATGCTAACTCTCCTCACTGGTGGCAGGGGTCATAATTGGTGGCAATGATTTTGGGTGTGTAAATTTCAAAATACCTCAGAAACTAATGTCCTCAATTCAATTTAAATTGAGTTAAAAAGTGCTAAGTAAGTGGAAGAATTTGTTTAAGCTGGTGCTGAAAATAAGCACAAGTCACATAGTGACGCTGAGAGAAGCAGAACCTCTATCATCTGAGGTTCTAGTGCTGGATTCTATATGTGATGTTATGTATACTAAATAAGAGGTAAAAATAAATCCCTGTGCTATTTCACATTGTTCAATCAAACTCCTAAACAAACTTCGCATTCAATCAAAGCCCTAAAGTTTTATAAGAGTCATTTCAGTATGCAAATGGCCATGTACAATTTGCTTATGAGGCAGGCGGTGTGTTCATGTCTCGAAATATGGTATTTAGGTAGCATGTGACATGTTCATCTTAAACAGATGGCTTGCAAACATGTTTTGAACACATGATGCTTCATGGCAGACATCTGATGTAGAATGGATTTAGTTTAATTTCCTAAATAAATTAGAAATTCTAATTCTTTTATATATAAAACTATTTTACTATTTGGGAGTCTATCGTTGTAAGTTAGTAACTTAAGGATTTTCAACTTTTTAAAGCCATTTTTGGAATAAATACAGAAAAATTATGGAATTCATTTGTAAATTCACACTTCATTCCACTAGGAGAGTGCAAATTATATTAAGATGACAAAATATTTACATTACATGGAATTTCACGTTGAGTTAAAACAATGAACTCCAAATTTTCCAAATTAATGATACTTAGAATGCGTCAGCGGGAGGCAGAAGGAATGACAGGTTTCGTTATGAGAAATCTTAATAACTGGGAGATCGGAGAGTATGAAAAATTGCTAAGCACTCTATTCATCATGACATTGGACAGGAGTCATGACAATCCTATGTGGTGTCTCACTACTAACGGGTCCTTTTTGTTCAAATCTTGATATAAGCATTCATCCAAGCATGAAAACGATGGAACTAGGTTTCCGTTCAGACAAATTTGGAAGGCTAAAATTCTGCATCATGTATTTGTTTTTATGTAGGAGGCTAGCAATGAGTGTATTTTGACTATTGACAAATTGAGGAGACGGGGCAAGATTATGGTGAATGCATATTATCTCTGTCAAAGGACAAAGGAGACTTGTAACCACGTACTACTACAGTTTCCGGTGGTGCACAAGATTTGGACTATTGTTTATAGGTTTTTAGGCATCAACTTGGTAATGGCAGGATTGTTGAGAAAACAAATTTAGGTGTGGAAGGGTATTACTGGGCGGAGGAGGGAATTTAATTCCGTTCATCTTTTGGGCAGTCTTAAAGGAGAGGAATAAAAGAGCTTTTGAACAGGTTGATGATCTTAACGATTTTGACTTGATTAGGAATAGATGGTTCTAGATCCTTAGATTTTTGTTACTGGGTCATCTTCTTTACTATATGGAGGATTTAGGGGGTCTCATTAATACTTTGGTAGATATGTCAATATTTCTATACAGGCTGTCGCCCCTTAGTGCCAGTTACTAAAGATATTCTTCACACTTTGTATTTTGAAAAAAAATGGTACTTGGAATGCACTATTCTAATTCCATATAAAATCCCAATAAGGTCACATGTTATCTTTTTAAGAAGGATTTTAACCATCTTAATTTAAACTAACCATATATTCACAAATGAATTTCATATTAAAATTAGATTTATTTCAAATATAACCAATATTAAGTTTTTTCTTATTCTTATTAATATTAGTATCTTATAGTTTACTATTTAGAAAGGTTATCAGAACTGACTATAACTTAATACGCTCCTCACTGGGATAATCCACCTCTCTACCAGTTCAACTATCTTTCCTTCCAATCTTGCTGAAGGTGATCTGTTAACAATGAAGCAGTCTGTCTTAAATGCCTTTGCCTAAATTATTTAGGTAATCCAGAGTGTAGTCTCATAGCTCTGGCGCTTTCAATCAATGAAATTTACCAACAAAAGATGGGATTAGATACTTGGTAAATCCAAACCTTTGTAAAATTATCAATGAAACTCAAAAGTATGTAGCTCCACCTTTACTTGGTATCTTGGTTGGGCACCATACATCTGTCAAATATCCTTACTTCTTATGGGGAATGTTCAAAGCCTATCCTATTTTGTTTTCCAAGGTTGTAGCTTAGCAAAAATCAACCTTACACCCTCCCCTCCACCAGTTCCTTTTGCGAAGTTCCATCATGCCTTGCTCACTTGTATGCCCAGATGCATATGCCAAAGAGTAGCAACATGTTCCAGATTCAAATGAAACAGCAGAAGTCAAAATAATTGCACTGCCAATCAACTTGTACATGTCATTTTCAGTTTCCCTTTCATTACAACCATGACACCCTCAGTAACCTTTAGGATTCAACTGCTAGAATCTGCTTCTAATAACGATATAACTAAAAGTTTGCCAAGTGTTTTTTGAAATGTTCAAGATGATTTTTGGATACTTTGACACTTCAAATTTTGAGGTCAATTTTTTTTCCAATTTGAGAAGATAATGGAGAATGCGTAGGAATTAAAATTCCTAAGTAGATTGGGAATTTCATTCCTAGCTAATATACAAAAGTATTAACTAATAATTTATATTTAAGCATAATTTTACTTTTGGGACCAAGCAATTAGTTAATAAAGTTAATTATAGCAGTTCCCTCAATACCTTGGCTGTGCGATGCAACTATGATCCTTAAGAAACCCTCAGACTAGGAGTCATGCGTAAGGGATCTTAGGTGTGTTTCTTAGTTTTTTTTCTCTTCTAGCTAAATTCTTAGGGATAAACTAATCCTAATTTGTCCTACATCAAAAAACATAGTGGTAACCACCATAAAGATATAGTCAACCTCGAATATTGAAGAGAAGAGCACATACTGAAGATTTCTTTCAAATGGCCTTCATTGACATTCCTGCTGAGGGAGTCGATGTGAAGAACAAGAGACTCACGAATAGGAGAAACTTTCCTGAAACCAAAATTTACATGTAGCAATGTGTATGAAGCACTTAAATATGTTGGAAGACACTGTTTAAATAACAATTTGTTCTAAATAAATTAACTTGTATATAAACAAATTATGTAGATATATAAATAAAATACAACTGATGAACTGTTACTTTTTGGAAATATTACATATGGTGGCAAAATAATTGCAATCAAGGTCTAATCGTTGCTTTTTCTACTAACAAAACAGAAAATAAGGGGGGAAGAAGTCCCATGGATATCCATTTCTAGAAAGGATGGGAAGGTCTCAACTAAAACATACCAACTAAAAATTAAAACAACAAAATTTTAACCCCTAAAAAAAGTTTCTTGTTTGAAAAAAGGTAAGCCCACTCCATTCTTTTAATGAAACATAGATAGTCAACATGATATTGAGTTTCCTGATGTCTTAAAGTTCATTTTTCACTTGCAAATTAAAAAGCTTAAACTTTAGTGGTGTTATTCATGAGATTCGCATATATATGTAATTCATAACTTTACCTTGGGGGTGGAGAAGCCTTTTTAGATTGTGGTGGAGGGGACCGACCACGTTTAGCCACCCCAGGAGGACTACCAATGAGAATAAAAGAAAAACAATATTAGAATTTGATATCAAAACAAAAATAAATGCAACAATGCAGAGGCAATTCAACAAGCAAAAAAACATTGGCAATGAACTTGAAAAGGCACAGACGTTTAATTTATTGAAGTTTCTAACTCAGACAGGTCTTTTCCACAATAAGTCCAGAACGGGGAAGGGGAAACAAATTTGCAACAACACTGGACAGGTACTTGTGAAAACTCTACATTCCAAATTTCACCGGTTCTGTTTCCATATGCTTTATTTAAAATCAAAGCTATCAGGCCAAGCATTTGCGTAGTATATCCATAATCAAGAATAAACCCAAACTGATAGCTTTGTGATGCCAACCAAAGCTTAAGCAGCAACTACTAAACTAACCAAGTAAAGTGTCTAACGCACACCAAAAGAAGGATAAGTCAATCGACAAAAATTTATAGAGCTAGAAAAAAGAAAACCTAATTCAGATACCGGGGCAACCTTTTCAACTCAACTAATTTCAATATCAGTCCAGGGTACATGTCAAGGCAGCTTCACTGTCGAGCTGCTACAGCTTAAAATCTTAATTTTCTTTCATTTACCCACATTCTCCAAACAGCTAAACACCCCAACCCAACAACATCAGAAACCGGGAAAAAAACCTAATAAAAAAGCTGAAAAGAGCGGAAGCAGGAAGTCACCTTTTTCGCTGGGGAGGAGGACTACGGCTGCGAGAACTGACGCTACGTGAGGGAGACGAAGATGAAGAGAAAGACCTGGAACGAGATCGAGAGCGTGAGCGGGAGGGCGATCTGGACCGCGATAATGACCGGGAGCGAGAGCGGGAGCTGGACCTGGAATCTGAACCAGAGTAGGAGCGGGACCTGGACCTGGAACGAGAGCGAGAGGAGGAACCGGAACCGGACGCGGAAGGCGGGGAGCGACGTCCTCGGCTTGGCTTCGCCATGAGGCAGGGGAAAATGGAAAAGTTAGGGAGGAAAACCCTGATAAACCCTAGTCGACAGAGAGCGCGGTAGCGTGTAGATAAGAAGAGTTCATGCGGGCGGGGTGTAAACCCTATCTTTGGGTAAAATTCAGAAAATTGACGCTTGAGAAAAGGAAATGAGAAGGAAGTAAATAAATAATTGAAAATTTTAAGGACAAAAAAAAAATAACTTACTTGAACATACTCTTATTTTTTTTTATAATTTATTTTAAAAATAAAATTTTATAATTTTAGTAAAGATTAAAAATTTTAACAGTCGCAAACTAAAAATAACAGAGAGTATTTTATCTCTTTCAATATCTATAATTTATACCGTAACACAATTTTTCGTGCATAAGTTCATTAGATTCAAAGAATAAACTAAACACAAACTCATTAAATCTTATAGGAAATTAATTTTATAAAAATTAGATTTGATACCATAATAAATATTTGATTAAATTAATTATATAAAAAAAATACTTAAGTTTATAAAAAATAAATCAATCAATTATCTTATAACTATTATAATAATTATGGAATAATATAAAGAATATCAGTATGACAACAATTGACTTTTATAATAGTTATAATGATTATTAAATCTGATAGTCTTTAGTCTCTATGATCTAATATATTTTTAATTATTACATAAGACTGGTCCACACCATTTGTACACTGTTAAGATGGTACGTGACATGTTATTATATTTTAAATATGTTGATGTGGGTCTTATGTTAGTGTAATATTATCACCTACATCAGTAAAAAGTTTTTATTCCACTAGTGTAAACACATCTTCACACAGGCTATTGTAGTTATATTTTCTTCATCATCGTTTTTTTTTCTTATTTCTATTGAGATAATCTTAGTAAAGCCAAAGCTACAAGGTTGATCGAGCAAGCCTTTTTCCATGGTCGAGCTTATCTTTTAGCTTATCAAGAAAAGCATGAAATAGAGGACATGAACAACAAATGCTCCCCCAAATTATTGATAGAATTGTCATTAAAATCCTAAAATTCAAATCTCTTGTTCGCACTTCTCCGTCTTTATATATTCCTTTATTTCTCTTTTATTATTTTCAGCTATCTAGTCATATTGATTTTGTGTATCCTCTATTATCTTATTTGTTTTTAATGTAAGTTTCTTCTACACTATTTGATTATTGGGTTTTTTTTAAATATATTTTTTAGTAAAAGCAATAAGAGATATTGAATTCTTAAAGATTCATAAAGCAACAACATGATTCTTTTAGGGAGGATAACAGCAAAATCAAGATTTATTCCACTTGAGATCTTCTCCACAAAGAAATGTTACTCAATCAAGTTTTAACCAATATAATAACCAACCATCTCAATATGTGAAGGAAAGGTTGCATGTAAGAAAGAAACTTGTTCATATTTTTGGCTTTAGGGCTCGATAGGGATGCAGAAGATAAAGATGGTGATGACAAGGGTGAAGATGGGTTTGCAGAGGTTACTTAAATTTTTATTTTGACCAAGCAATTACATGACATCCATGCCAACATATTTAAAATGTAATAATATATCACGTGTTACATTAGTGGTACACAAATAACTTGTTGAAGTTTTAACGTATATATATTATCGATCTCTACTCTCCACAGTGATATCTTTTTTCATATTTACACTAAAAATTAATAGATTTTAGTAACTGACAATTGTCAATGCCATGACCATACATACTGCATGACAAACATATTAAGCACAATAATCTTTTATATTCGACACAATGTTTTCGTTTGTGAACATGAAATTTGGATAATAGTGATTTAAAAATATCTAACTCTATATAAATTCTAGTGAAGTATATTCTTGAATGAAGACATTGTAGTGTCTATTTAGAGACTCGTCTAAATGATCCCATCTCTTTCTAAAATTTC